ACCCTAATTATGCCAAATTAAGGATCACGTGATATGCACGTGCGAAAATCTATTAGTTGCTGACGGATGGCAAAGAGAGTCGACTCAATGTGTCAAAGAATTAATGAAGTTAATGTTTATTTTGTTCAACTTGGAACATGGGGACTGGAAGTGGAATCAAACTAAAGTTTATGTTATGGTATTCTAATTGAAAATAATTGGTAAAAAAGTTAAAAAAATCAAGTTAATTGTTATCATCAGCATGTGGTACAATAACCGTACCACGAATATTTGCGATGACAAAATTCGGAATAATCGAAAATCAGATTTTTGAAAAACGGAATGTTAGTGCATCAAAATTTGTTAGCAATACAAAATGGGAAAAAAAATTCCAAAATTAGAAATTCCGAGATCGAAACCAACGAAACTCGAAAATTCCGTTCTAACTTTCGCAACTAATCTTGTTAAACCCTTCGCATAAATCAGTTTCCATCTTTCTCTTTTGCCCTAACCCTAATTTTTCAACAATACCAAATTGAGTAATTAACTACTACGCCCGCTTTCCTTATTTCACCAACTAGACCACACTTCGTACGACGTGAAATTACAAACATACCCTTCAAAAAAACCCACGTTGCAATTCCGAGCCCCGGTGACTTTCTCCACACCCTCATAAATATAACTATCTCCACGCTCCGGCTTCCCTCTCTCCCAATTTATATACATATATACAGAGTAGTACACGCAGCATGGTAAAAACTCTCTATTTTCCGTCAAATATATTTATATATATATATGTGTTTGTACACGAGTGTATATATATATAATAAATATATATATATACAGATATATACATGTGTAGATATTGCACTCATAAAACTCTCTCCTGCGCTCATGTTAATTAAGATTTAAGAGAGGGTCGAAAGATCTCCTTGCGGCAAAAAAAAAATCTTTTCAATTACTTGTGTTGTTGGATTGCGATTTATCCCTTCCGTATAATTCAAGTAATGTGATTGACTCTTTGAAGCTTTTGTTTTTCAATTCTGTAGGATTTATCGATACGAATACGATAAATTTGGAGGTGATCTGCGTGAGGTATGGAATTGAATTCAGATGAATAATCATCGTTCGCCCTTGTTGATGTTGATCTAATTGCTATTTGATTTCAATTTAATTGAGTTTAGTGGTTTTGGAATTACTCTTTTGCAGACAAATTTGATCACGATTTTTTTCCAATTGGAGTGAATGAACAGTGGTTTTTTTGAAGATTATTGAAATTGTTAATTCAACGATAGATATACGAGGATTAGATGGTGAAGAGGGCAAGAGATGATCTGGTTTTGAGTCCTCAATCGAAGGAGCTCGCAATTCGTCCGCCACCCGAGCGGTAAGTTTTTTTTTATCTTTCGATTTTATTGGTAATTTTTCGATTTTTGCAGTTTTTTTTGTGACTGGGTGGTTTTTGTTCTTTGATCTGTAGTAATAAGATTGGTATTGATTTCATCATTCACTAATTGTATGAAGTCCGGGGCTTTTCGGTTTGGTTTTGTTATATGATTTCGTTTGCCTCGTGTTTTCATAATCATGTTATTCTGGGATGGGGTTGGTGAAGGTGAAATTATGCACATTGGATTTTATTATGTGAAAAGGGAAAAAAAAGTCTCGTTTTCCGTTTTGGGTTTCACGTAGATTATTATGGGTGCGAAATTTGTTTGTTGATTATTTTTTTTTCTTATGGATGTGAAACGAAGGTCCGGAAAAGCACAGATGTCAACTGCAAGCACGGCGCAAGTGGTGACAGACAATGATGCATTGACGTATCTGAGAACTGTGAAGGAAAAATTGAAGGACCGAGGAGATAAATACAATGAATTTCTTCAAGTCATGAAAGCGTTCAAGGCTACAAGGTACAACTCTGGCTTTGGTTTTTTCATTGTAAATTATAGTTTGTTTGCTCACTTATTTTCAGATTTTGTAATTGTAATTTATTATTTACTTTTGTTTGGTTGGTTTTGCTTGTAGAATTGATACAAACGGGATTATACGAAAAGTGAAGGAATTATTTGAAGGGGATCGAGAGCTAGTTTTGGGTTTCAATGCCTTTTTACCAGAAGGGTATAAAATTACCCTCCCATCGGATGATCAACCAGTTCCGAAAAAGAAGAGAGTTTGCTTTGACCAAGCAATCAATTATGTGAACAAAATCAAGGTGCAATTTTCTCCTTCTTCGCTACTACTCCTTTAGATTTTATTATCTTAACAACTTCTAAAACTAATTGCAGGCTAGATTTCAAGGCGATCACAGTGTATATAGTAGTTTCCTCAGCATCTTGGATATTCACTTTAAAGATAAAAAGCCAATAGCAGAGGTTTATCAGAAGGTATTCTGCTATGATTTTTTTTTTCAATTCTTAAAATTATATAGAAGATAAAAGGAAACTGTTGTGGAGTTGTGATTGGTTTTTAATTTTTTTTCTAGATATCCGTTCTTTTTAAGGACCATCCTGACCTACAATTAGAATTCACTAATTTCCTACCTGATGATTCGAGTGCTGCCCCTCTCCATTATGATGAGCTTGGTTATGTAAGCGGCTCTCCTCTGACTATGATGAGGCCCCGTGATATTAAAAAGGTCATTTATCTTTCGTGATTTTGATTTTGATTTAGTTGTTTTTTTCCGGTTAGTGGTAGTAAAAGTTTCTGCTTGTTTGTTCTAGAAGCCTGCTGCTTTATGTGATGTTCGTGAGCAGAAAATCGATCACCCTGATCCAGAGCAGTTTGTTGAAAAAGGACAGAAGAAAAGAGTAGGCAGAGACAAAAATGAACGGGAAGATGAAGATATTTCAGGTCACAAAAGAACATCTCTTCGTAGAGATGATTCTGCGAATGGCTTGTTTGATCAAGGTACGTGGGAAAGACAAGTCTATTTGTGTTCCTTAATCGTGGCATGTCAAGTGTGAATAGATAAAAGTATTATCCAGTTCTTGATTTTCATTGTAGATTTGATTTTTTGGCTTTGACTAATTTACCTGAGATAAATCATGCTAGAATACGCATATGCTATATTACTACTGAAAAATCGATTTTGAGATTCTCTTGGAGAACACTTTAGATGTTTACCTAAATTCACTTTGGGTCGTCCATTTATTATAGCTATAAATGATAGTGTTATATGTATTCGTGTACTTTCACACAATATATTTGTGCTAAATGTTTTTTTCTCTACTGTTTTTTGTCATGCTGAGATTTATTTGTTATGCATAATGACCTGTTGGATTTGTAACCAATTTAGCACATTTCAGATTGCTTGCATGACAAGAAACAAATATTCCAGCCTTTAAAGGTAGAAGAATGCGAGGGAGAAGATCCTAATATGGAAGATGAAGATACAGATAACGATGACATTAAAGATGTCATTAAAGAGAAGCAATCTGCTAATAAAGAGAAGTTCATGGCAAAACCCATTCAAGAACTTGATCTCTCTAACTGTGACCGCTGCACTCCAAGTTATCGACTTCTTCCCGATAATGTACGTTTTACCTTTTTTTTTTGGAGGAAACATTTTACTTCATTAATTTCATATATTGTGATTCTGAATTCTTTGCTCATCCCATTTGGCATATTCCTCGAGACAGTATCCGACTCCATCAGCGTTCGGCAGAAACAAAATTGGTAATGAAGTGCTGAATGATCGATGGGTATCTGTCACTTCAGGAAGTGAAGATTACTCATTCAATCACATGCGCAGAAACCAATATGAAGAAAGTTTGTTCCGCTGTGAGGATGATAGGTAACAACTCTTGTTAACGATGATTAAATTATGATTACACGTGTATTAATCGTAATTAGTGAAACTGATTATGATTTACAGGTTTGAGCTGGACGTGTTGTTGGAATCTGTGAAGGCAACAGCAAAGAGAGTCGAAGAACTTCTAGACAGTATGAATGATCATACAAATAAGACAAACAGTTCAGTTAACATCGAAGATCATTTGACAGGTTTGTGACAATTCTCTAAAACATATTTACGCTGTCAAGATAAATATTTATTTATTTGTTTGATTTCAGTTCTTAACCTACGGTGCATTGAGCGTTTATACGGTGAACATGGGCTTGAAGTAATGGACATGTTAAGAAAAAACGCACCCGTTGCTCTGCCAGTTATTTTAACACGGTTGAAGCAGAAACAGCTGGAATGGGAAAGTTGCAGATCTGATTTTAATAAAGTTTGGGTGGAAACGTACGCTAAGAACTACCGAAGATCACTTGACCACATGAGCTTCCATTTTAAGCAGGAGGACAAAAAAAGAATGAATACTAAAGGTAATTTAGGTTTATATATTATTGACTAAGCTTTGTATAACAATGCATGAGCCTATTTTATTGTTAATTTACTTGTTTTTTCGGTTTATGATTCTTGACATTCAGCTTTGTTAGCTGAAATTAAAGAAATGAGTGAAAAGGATCAAAACGAAGAAGAAATGATTATGTCAATTAGTGCTGGATATAGACAGCCAATCAGAGCTCATATGAAATTTGAATATCCCGATCCAGACATCCAACGAGATCTATATGAGCTCATTAAATACTCGTGTGGAGAAGTTTGTATGTCTGAGCAGCGTGGCAGAGTCGTAAATATTTGGACAAACTTCCTCGAACCGTTGTTTGGTGTTCCTTCACATCCTTTGGAGCAAGTTATTACAAGTGATACTGTAGGAATAAGCATTAACGAGGAAAATAACGCAGATCTATTAAATGGTTGGTATTTCTTTTTATATTTTTTTTAACTTGAAATTTTAGATAATATCTTGTTTATCGGGGCCATTTGTTTCTCCTCCAGTTGCATGTGAAGAAATTGAAAGCAGCACCAAGAGTGAGCTAGAAGAAGGTGAAATATCTCCAAGTAGAAATCTTGACGAGAAAAATGCCATGAACGAAGTAGCACAAAGTGAAAGCCCTGATGAAAATCGGGACCATGATAATTATACTTTACAGAGTGCAAAGCCTATTACGAAGAAAACTCATTCGGGTTTACATTTCGAAAAGAAGAATTCTGAGGTCTTCTATGGGAATGATTCCTTCTATTTGCTTTTCAGATTTCACCAGGTAATTTTATATCTCTTTTTGATATATATATATATACACATATATATAAGGATTAAATGTTTGCTCTTTTAACTGATTGTCCTCATTCAACAGATTTTATATGAAAGAATGCACACTGCCAAGGTGCTCACTTCGTCTCCTGAAAATAAACCTAGGATATCGAATGATGCAGAACGAACAGATTCGTATACGAGGTAATTTATGTGGGGGGTTTTTTCTTCTTTAATGGGGGTGGAGTGAAGCTTCGTAATTTACCGATAAACGTGAACTTTTTAATTGGAACAGATTTAAGGATGCACTGCATACTTTGCTGAATCGAACATCTGAAAATGCGAAGTTTGAAGATGAGTGCCGAGCTATTATTGGTGCTAAAGCTTACATCTTTTTTTCGTTGGACAAGCTGATACATAAACTTGTGAAGCAGGTGAACAAAAAAAGGATTTTATTTATTAAATTTGTAGTGCTTTTTGTTTTCTATTTGTGTCGCCTGAAGCTTTTGTCCATGGTATTTCCTCAGCTACAAAAAATTGAAAGCGAGGAAATGGACAACAAACTCCTTGAATTGTACGAGTACGAAAGATCAAGAAATCCTGAAAAATTTTCCGATGCAGTTTATCACGAAAATGCCCGTTTTCTTCTTCCCGGTGACGAACTGTATCGAATAGAATGCGTAAGTCTTTTTTTTTTTCCTCGCTCTTCTATTTTTTTAGTTCTAAACAATAATTATTTTAGGAAAAGACATGTGAACATGCAATTGTACTTGCAGGTACCTTCTTCTCCAAGGTGTTTGACCATACAACTAATGAAAAACGAGCATGATAAACCGAAAGGGGTTATGGACCCCGATTTTGCAGCTTACTTGAATAATGAACTTCTCTCAACTGTTCCCGAAAGAAGCGGAAATCCTAGAATATTCTTAAAGAGGTAGATTTACTTTTACCAAACAAAGGTAAAACTGTTTTAAATCATGATTGTTTACTTATACATTAATTCATTCCGGCTCGTTTTTCTTTTTTATTATAGAAACAAAAGAAGATATTCGACTGGTGACGAAGTTTCTGATGCCTGCAAAGCCATGGAAGGACTTTCGATATATAATGGTCTGGAAATTGTGATCAACTGCAATACATCGAAGGTTAGTTTTTTTGAGAAATTTCCGGAGTTATTTTTGCAACCAAAATAAACATTTAGCTAATTTTTTTTTATTTTTTTTTAATTTTTTTATATGTTGTAGGCCAGTTATGTTTTAGACACAGAGGATATCTTGTACCGCAGAAGAAAAGGGAAGAGGAAGCCTTTGTCTAAAGGTAGATGCAAAATATTGTCTCTCTATGATTGATTCTGCAATTTTATTTTTAATTTTAATTTATAGAAAAATATAGTTAAAGATAGTCTTTAATTGTAGCATTGGAAGTGTATATTTTGTTCATTTTGATTTATTTCTTGATTCTTGAAAGTTTAGTATTTATAGTTATTCAGGTAACATAGTTGGTCAATAATTCAATTGTAATTTTGTATAGTTGGTCAATATATTACTACTCTTGATTTGGACACCAATCATTTACTTCCTACAAAAGGACTATGATATTATTGCACATTCTTTATTCGAATCTATGTTATATTTGGTGAAATATATTTGATAATTTATTACCTCTATTTTGCATAGGTTAATAAAAAAGATTATTTCACAAACACCCTTCGTTAGTCTACCTCAATTACAATGAGTCCAAAAAAAATTCTCTTTTTTTAAGTTAAATCTAAAATATTTTTAATTAATAAAAATTAATACAACTTTACTATTATACCCTTTTTCTATGATAGTTTACGATTTTTAGGGTTTTAAGTAATAATAAATGAATTTTCTTGCACGGATAATATGTGTAGTATTTATAGGGGACAATTTGGCTTCAAACTCCCTCTTCAATTCAGTTTAACATGTCCCATCAAAATATCTTCGAATTCAAAATTACTTTTCAATTGCATTTAGGTGGTGTTTGCAAAAGCTTTTAAAAATAGATTATGAGCTTTTTTTCTAACATAATCTGTTTTTAGGTGTTTTCAAAACTGACTTTTGCTTTTGCTTCTCTTAAAATAAGTTACTTTAAGCTATAATTTTAAAAGCACCCATGTACCTGTTTTTTCTATTTTAGTTATTTTTCCAGATTTTTTGCAAACACCCCCTAACTTTTAGAATTAAGCATTTAATATCAACTTAACTCACAATCACCTACTTATGCTTTTAAATAAGCTTTTGCAAACACCACCTTACTATATTACTTCGAGTAAATAGTGAAATAATTGCATGTGCAAAGTCAACAGACATTCTCCGAACCGTACAGTTGATTGGACGTGCATTAAATATTGTCAGTGATCGTGTGCAATATCACTTTCCTTTATAGTCTTTCTTGGCCGAACTTGCTTAGTGGACCATAATAATTGAAACTAATCCTAATTAATATCATTTTATAAATATAATAATCTTCTAACTTAAAATACAACAACTTAAATTAAAGTAAATAAATTATTATTCCAAACCATAATAAACCAACAAACATTTTAATGATAAAATATTCATTTTATTTCAATAGCTACTTGGTAAATCTAAGGTGATAAAGTGCACAAAATAACTAAAACAATTTAGTTATATATAATTTATATATATTAATATAAATATAAAATTATAAATAATAAATAGTTTTCTTCTCTAGTCTTTTTCTTTACCTAACCTTCACATTTGGGGCACTCCACCGTGAATCCGATTCAAATCAATGGCTCAGTTAACTCGCCGTTCGGCCAAGCTCCTAGAGCCCATATCCGCCGCCGTGTCCGCCACGCGCCACCTCACAACATCCTCCACATCACCAATCACCGTTGAGACCTCCCTCCCGTTCACCGGCCACAAGATCGACCCCCCCTCTCGCTCCGTCGAGACCACACCACAGGAGCTCCTGACCTTCTTCCGCGACATGGCTCTGATGCGCCGCATGGAAATCGCCGCCGATTCGCTCTACAAGGCGAAACTGATCCGCGGATTCTGCCACCTGTACGACGGCCAGGAAGCCGTCTCCGTCGGGATGGAGGCCGCGATTACGAAGAAGGACTGCATAATCACCGCGTACAGGGATCACTGCATTTTTCTAGGGCGCGGGGGAACACTCTTCGAAACGTTCGCCGAGCTTATGGGGAGGAAGGACGGTTGTTCTAAAGGAAAAGGAGGTTCGATGCATTTCTACAAAAAGGATAGCGGGTTTTACGGCGGCCATGGAATTGTTGGGGCGCAGGTTCCGTTGGGTATTGGGTTGTCTTTCGCCCAAAAGTATAATAAGGATGAGAACGTTACTTTCGCGATGTACGGAGACGGTGCTGCAAATCAGGGTCAGCTGTTTGAAGCTTTGAACATGGCCGCTCTTTGGGATCTGCCCTCAATTTTGGTTTGCGAAAACAATCACTGTAAGATTTTTATTGAATTGATTAATTGATAATGAATGATGAATTGATACAATATGGTGATAATGAATGATGGAATTTACAATGTAAAGAAGCATTGCTGCAGTTGTTTTGTTACTGAGTTTGCACACAAGTTCAGTTCTCTTGAATGTTGATATGTCGAAGAAACGGAATGTTGGTGTTATGTTGTCTTTTTCCGTGCGATTTACGGAGATTCCTGATTTATGTGGAGGTGTAGAAGTAGCAATAGTTGGAAATCTCGTACATTTCACTTATGCTTCGTTTCTTTTTATGGATAATCAAACGAAAATAGTAGACTTAGGCGCCTCGTTTGGTTGGGAAGATTAGCCATGATTAACTTAATAATTGGACCTTTGTTTGATGTTTGGTATCCCCAATAACTTATCCGGTCGACCCGCAAATACTATGTTATCATGGCTTATCTTGCCTTTTAGGCATGTTTTTTGTTGGATCTTCCAAGGTCTAATAATATAATTGGATTTCATTAGATTATTTAATCTTATCTTGGCTAATATTATCTTGGCAACCAAACGAGGCCTTACTATTTGATACTGTAAGGCTGTTTAAATGACAAAAATCAACCAGACTTTAATTGAAGCATATTTAATGTACGTCTTGTTTGGACTTTGGTTTGTCATTTGTGCCTTTCGTTGCAAGTTTCTTTATAAGTATGTGGTTGGACTGATATTTGTTTGTTCAATGGGATTGGGTACACACAGATGGAATGGGCACAGCAGAGTGGAGGTCAGCAAAGAGTCCCTCTTATTTCAAGAGAGGAGATTATGCTCCGGGTTTGAAGGTCAGTCGTTTATGTTTTTTTTCCTTTTTGTTGTCATGGACTATATGAAATGCCGGGTACCCTTTGTTTCAAATTTCCTGCGTGCAAAATATTTTTCTCGGGTTGTGATTTTTACTCTTTCAGCAGTTTAGGTTGACAACAGTGTAGTGATATTCTAGTTATCAGTCACAGACTTCCACCCTTTAAATAGTTTTGGCAATGTTATCTGAACAGGACTTTTTTTTTTCCACAAAACGATACATAGAGAACTTCAAATAAATTTAATGATTGAATTATGTGAAATCTGCATTGTTACTTTGTAATCATTTGCTTTTTGAATCCCCTGTTTCTGGATTTGATAGATTTGTTACCCGATCTTGTTTGCCCGGGGCAGTGTTGATATTAGAGTTATCTTAGTTCCTCAAACTCAATATCTTTTGCTGTTTGTATTTGAAGTTGATCGATTGATTTAGAAACAAGCAAATCCCGTTGCAGCTAAAAACTATGGGTATTTGTTACAAGAATTTTCATGTTTAGCAGATGCGTACGTCTTCATCTTCGTAAACAGCTTTCTGATGTTAATTTGTTTGTTCGATGTGGAAACAGGTTGATGGAATGGATGCCCTTGCTGTGAAACAAGCATGCAAGTTTGCAAAGGAGCATGCCTTAAAGAATGGCCCTATTGTAAGTGCTCAATATAAATTTTCCCATCAAGTGTTTGTATATATATATATATATATATATATATATATATATATATATATAATATATGTTGCTATTTTTTTCACACTGAAAACTAAGAAGTGATTGTTTAGGCTATGTGTCGACTACTGGCAGCAATAGAAACCTAGTAGATAGCAAATTTCAACCCCCCCCCCCCCCCAAAAACACCGACTCGGTCGGTGGTACGTGATATGAGTCGCAGCCTTAGGTCTCTGAGCATATCAGGGGAGTGGGTTCACTTTGATGAAAGCAAGACGGTACCTGAGCGCAACGTACGCTGCAAGAGGCAACCCATGGAAACACTAGAGTTAATTCGTTACACGCGGAACCCCTGCTGCCACTTCTAATAACGTTTTTTATATTTATATTGCGCGTTTTTGTTTCCTTTTTTTAACCCCCCCTTTTCCCCCCCCCCCCCCCCTACACCCCTATCATCATGGAATTTTAAAATATTCAGAGGAAATCATCATAATTTGGGCTATTTGTGTATGTGTGCATACATATAAATGACAGGCTGTAGTGTAAATGTGTAATAGATGAGAGAGTTTTGAAGCATGCAGAGATCAATAAAGTGTTATTATTATATTTATGCATGGCAAAACACTTTATCTAAATATTTTGAGACAATAACTCATGTGTTCGTTTTATGTTCAGATTCTAGAAATGGATACATACAGGTACCATGGACACTCCATGTCTGATCCTGGAAGCACATACCGTACACGTGACGAGATTAGTGGTGTTAGACAGGTTAAATATTTTTTTGGAATATTTTCTATTTACGACTAAACACTTTATTGTGTAGTCAATTCAAATACCTTCCGTTCAGGAGCGTGATCCTATTGAAAGAATCAGAAAGCTTATAATATCTCACGATCTAGCCACCGAAAAGGAATTGAAGGTAATATATATTATACACACACACACACACACACACACACACACACACACACACACACATATATATATATTTTTCAATTGCATGATGATATTATCATATTAATATATGATGTGTTTATTTTACCTAAATCAGGACACTGAGAAAGAAGTGAGGAAAGAGGTGGATGAAGCCATTGCAAAAGCTAAGGTTAGATTAGATAGCATTTTTTTCTAGACGATGTTTTCTTTCAGATGAATGTAGAGAACGAACACATTGGACTTTGTGTAATGAGATTGTACATCTTTTTTTTTTCTTTTTTTTTTTTTTTTTTTTTTTTTTTTTGCAGGAGAGCCCGTTGCCTGATGCTTCTGAGCTTTTCACCAATGTACATGTTAAAGGCTTTGGAGTTGAGGTAATTTTCATTTTTCTTTTTTAAATCTTATTTCATTTTTTCGATCGGGAAATGATGAGAAAGTACAGGTTCTGTTACTTCCATTTGCAAGCGCTCGATTTTCGCCCAAGGCAAGACTAAAAAACGAGGCCCTCATGTTCAATTTAACCAAATAAATCTATAAAAAAATCAACTAACATTTTCAACAATAATATAAATTAAACAACAGGATTGAGAAAATCTATTCATAGATTAATCATTCGTAAGTAATCAACTAAAAAAACTTGCATAATATTAAAATAATATTTTTTTTTCCATTTTGAGGTATAAAATTATCTACTAAATTTGTTAAATTAAGCTTTTCTGTATTGACTTTTTTGAGGTATAATTTGATTGAAGGTAAAATTTAAACAACTTCATACGTCTAGAATATAAATATTATACTTTTTTTTAAATAACTCTATGCCCCAAATCCAATATAATTGTTTTTTCAATCTGTTTTGTTTGATAATAATAAAATATATATACGTAGCATTTAAAAATCCGAGGCCCTATAAATTTATCAAATTTTGGAGGCCCAAGACGGGCCTCTCCAACCTATACCTTGGGCCGGGCCCTGATTGCTAGTGATCTTAATAGGAACTAAACTTATTTCATCGATTGCATGTCGTTCATATCAGTCTAAGGCGACAACAATGCTTGTTTATTAATTCGACTGAAATGTATATAACGTTTCAGGCTTTTGGAGCTGATAGAAAAGAATTGAGAGCTGTGCTTCCTTGAGCCGAAAACATCAAGTAACCTTCCGTTCGTACTTTCCTCGAAATAAAACAGAAACATCGTTAAAAAATTTACGTGTTTCTGTACAAGAATCTTCATATTCTACTGAAAGCTCCTTCGATTTTTTAGTATTGAATTTTTTTTTTTTTTTGGTTCATTTTTTTTTTGGTGTGACATAATGTCAATGTAAAAACTGCAGATATAACTTTGTGCAGCGAAACCACGAAACATTAAACCTTAAATTCGGAGGCATAGGTTTTTGCCCCAGCCTCGTATATTCTTTTATCAATGGATCAATATGTATAGCACCACCATTTGTTCTATGTTGTATTCGATAAATGTCATATTCATGCATATTTTACACACATCTATATCAATACGTACATGTTTATGTGTGTGACTGTGTGTAGATTAAAGGTGAAAATAGGCATGTAATTTTATTAGGTGTAGCATGTAATAGAGCATTCAAACTATTATATACCTTTTTGCCAATTTTCTAATTTCCATTTGTAACGTTATTGAATTTAAAAAAAAAATTTAAAAAATAGTAAAGAGAAAAAAGGTTGTCTGGAATTCAGGAAATTAGGAAAAAGACAAATAAAAAAACAAAAAAAAAAAGGAGTGAAAAATATGCCAACTTTTATTCCCCATCCTGGGCCAGTTCATACATTTCAAAAAAAACCTCGTGTGCGACAAACGACACCGTCTGACAGGTTTCTTATTAAATCATATCTAATATTATATCTGTTTTAGTACTTCTTTCAGTCTTTGGACCAATACCAATTTATCAAAACCTGTGGCCATTATTAATTTATATTTGAAAATAAATAATATATATTTGGTGATGCCAATGAATGTATCATATTATATGCAGAGTATCCTATGAAGCACTGTACCAAAATATTATTATTATTATTATTTCTTTATTTTTTAAACAATTATTCTCAGCTATTTCCAGATAAAGGCCAAAACCTTTTCCAATTTTACACATTCTTTTATTAAAATAAAATATATTATTTTGTAGTATTTTTATCTCAATTTCTCCATTTGTTATTACTTATTATCAATTATCATGATTTTGTTTCAGTTAAATATATAGTTTTGTTTCAATGTGTCTTAATCAAAATAGAAATATAGGGTAAATTACAATCACCTCCTCGAAGTAAAGGTAATATACAAAAAAATCCTCATTGTTTTAGAAATTATATCCAGACCCCTGTAGTTTGTAAATTTCTTAAATCCACTCCCATGAGAGGGTGTTAATGTAAGAAATTTACGAATTTCAATGATAGATGTAATCATAAAACAATAAGGGCTTTATTCATAAATAGACTTTAGCCGTTGCAAACAAATCGGAATATGAAAAATAATGAAGCAAAACAGCCTCTAAAATTGCTAGAATAAAAAGGAGCACGTGAACACGTGGCAGCAGTGCATTGGAGCCAGAACAGACTGATAAGCAGCCGTCAACATCAGTAAGCAGCTTTCACAACTCACCACCTCCAAAGCTAAGCTGGCAAACACATCATTTAATTATTTATTATGTATTTTCCAGCTGGCAATTTTAATTAGTGAAAGCAATAAATATTCCTTTGCCCAATGAATTTTTTTTACTGTTTCAACTTTGACTGCCTCCCCACACCCCTTAAATCATTTAATTATCATTCCTCATATTAATAATATTTATTTTAATTAATTGTTACCACAATCACATTTATTTCAGATAACAAAATGTAGTTGTGTATATTGCATGTGGATTCATGGATCCTATTTTTATGGCTTCTTAATTAAATTTCACAATTATAATAAAAAAAGTAAATTTTTTTACCACAATGTTTGATATTACGAGGGTGTTTGGCTGAGTTTATAAGCACTTAAAAATAGCTTATAAGTTTTTATAAAATATTTGGTAATTTTTTCAAAAAAAAAAATTAGATTTTTTTAATTAAATATAAATACAGATCAAAATAATATGATTTTAAAAAAAGTGCAATCTATACAAAATTTGGTAGGTGCAAAGATTGCAGCTTTTGTTAACAAAAGCATATAAAAGTATAAGTATATTCTTTTCCTTCCAATATGTCCAAAACACCAAATTTCCTTTTATACCATTTAAAAAAGGGAATAAAAAATAAATATATTAGGTGAAAATAAACCCAAAAAAACACAAATATTTATAAAAAAAAATAGCACCTAACAGACGTTTTACCAACTATACAACAGAAATTCGTGGCCTTTTATTGTAAATATATACTGAGTGCCCACAATACCCAATTTTTATTTTATTTTAATTTTATTTCCAGAAAATAGCAACTACCAACTGCTACAACCATAATTATCATTGATAACCAAACACCAGCGTTCTATAGGTGCACGCGCCGCCGTGCGGCGAGTGTGGGCCACACTGTTCTTTTCTTCCATAAGCAGTTTTGTGCCAATAAGCACTTTTTTATAAAACCGCCCCACACCCACACCTTTCTCTCCTAAATTAAATAAAAAGTTAAAGTAGAAAATAAAAAAGGCGAAAAGGACAGCAAATAGTTATTATTATTAATTAATAATTAATTAAGATTTAAAGTCCATAATTATCGTAATAAAATCTCGTAATATAGTGTTTACTGATTCATAGTGGAGAAAGTAAATATTTAGCGTATCTCTGTTTATGCACATCTGTATATACAAAGGAAACCGCGTTTTTTCGTCTGATATTTAACTGTGCATTATCATTATTATTATAATTATAATTAATAATTACTATTGTTTAATTATTTACATTAAATAAATCCGCGTTATACATACATACACACTTAGCCCTTTATATATATCTAATGTAAATGGTACCGAGTCATTTGACTGGAAATTCTAGCTAGAGTTTCTCTCTCCGACTCTCTCTTTCTCTCTCTCTTTCTCTCTCTAAAAATGCATTTCCATTAATAACGCCGTTTGTTCTCGATCCTCTGGAGAAAAAATCCACACTCTAAAATCAGCAATCAATATATCCGGACGGAATATCTGTAATGGTTGTTTCAGGATTTAGTGCGGGGTTAATCCCGGCTGTCGGATTCCTTCTCGTCCTCCTCTACTCGCCGTTGATGTGCCTCGGAATCCGTTCCTTCCCCTACAACGGCGGCGCCGCGATCTCCGATTTCAACGGACTATTCGGATTCTCCGAGGCGCCGGACTACCGCAACGGCGTCGGCTGTCCGTCGACGGCGGCGGCGAAATCCGCGGATCCGGTGACGTCATGCGATCCGTCGCTTGTACACGTGGCGATGACGCTCGACTCGGAGTACCTCCGTGGCTCAATGGCGGCGGTGCACTCGGTCCTCCGCCACGCGTCGTGCCCGGAGCAGGTCTTCTTCCATTTCGTCGCGGCCGAGTTCGACTCGCTGAGTCCCCGAGTTCTGACCCGGCTCGTTCAGTCCATTTTCCCCTCCCTCAATTTCAAGGTCTACATCTTCCGAGAGGACACCGTCATAAACCTAATCTCCTCCTCGATCCGGTCCGCTCTGGAGAACCCGCTGAACTACGCCCGGAATTACCTCGGTGACATTATCGACCCGTGCGTGAAACGGGTCATATATCTGGACTCGGATCTGGTTCTGGTCGACGACATCACGAAGCTCTGGGAGGTGAAAATGTCGGCCGGAAAAATAATCGGCGCACCGGAATACTGCCACGCGAATTTCACCAAGTACTTCACCGACAACTTCTGGTCCGACCCGGTACTGAGCCGGGTATTCGGGTCGAGGAAGCCCTGCTACTTCAACACAGGTGTGATGGTGATGGATTTGGAGAAGTGGAGGGAGGGGCATTTCCGGAAGAAGATTGAGAATTGGATGGAACTGCAGAGACAGAACCGGATATATGAGCTAGGCTCTCTGCCGCCGTTCCTTCTCGTCTTCGGTGGGAATGTGGAGCCGATCAACCACCGTTGGAATCAACACGGTTTGGGCGGTGACAACGTGGCAGGATCCTGTAGAGAGCTGCACCCTGGTCCAGTGAGCCTGCTGCACTGGAGCGGAAAGGGGAAGCCCTGGGTAAGGCTTGACGAGAAGAGGCCTTGTCCGTTGGATCATCTCTGGGAGCCGTACGATTTGTACAAGGGGAAATCCATGGTACAACATCAACAGCGTCTCGAACAACTCGTTGGGTATTCAAGTTATTTCTTTTAATTTTTTAATTTTTTTTTTAAATTCTGGATTATTAATTCTTTGATTAGCTTGTACAGAATGGGGCGAATATTATTTTCTCTCTGTTTTTTTTTTTTTTTTTAAATTATTTTATTGTTTGAGTGTTGCTACAATTTAATTTCATTTGATTGATTGAGATAGGGTTCCTATGATGAAGGAACCAATTTTGGGTTTTAGGTAATTTGTTGTACTTAGTGGATTTTGAATAACATTTAGTTGTTCTATTGTACTAATCCAAAAGTTAATCGTTTTAGCCCATTTACTAATTATTGGTTGCTTATTCTTAAGATTAATTTAAGTACTAATCTGATTTAATTAGGTAGCATAACAAACTACTTTCAAGCATAGTTGAACAAGTTTTGAAACAAAACTCGATTTAACGACAGTTAACAAGAAGATTCGAACTTGGACCAGTAAACAAAGATCACTTGTTCCAACTGTTAGACCATCTATTGCGAGACAACACGTGTTTAGATAAATGCGTCACTGGTGGTGAAAATGAGCATCTAACGAACTATTTAAAATTTTGTATCGAAATAGATTGATCTGGTCAATTTATTTTACGAAATTGATTCATAAATATGGATGCGTTAAAATTTGTAGCATGACCGATTATGTATGTAGAAGAAGTCTTATTTTAATATAGTTGTTAAAGCGCTTAATCATGAAACGACTTTGTAAGTAGTTGACAATGATTTAAAGTCTTATGACAAGATTAGGGGGCAGCACCTAATGAAGCTTAGGTCAATCACTTTGTTTTCAAGTTTGCTTTTATTCACTTCTTCTCCCTTTTTTTATTTATTCAAATAAAATAAAAAAGTGTCTGAATATTTCAAAATCTAATTTCCTACACGCTCGCTCAAGTGTTTCTTGCTACACTCGGTGAAGTTTATACCGAGTGTTTTTTTATCGTTGATCTACACATACGAATTTTGATGTGTGTGTTTCTGTTTATATAAATGGTAAAAATATACTTGTTGTATTTCACTAATGTTACATATTCTGCCAACTGGAAAAATAAAATTGATCACTTTACTCAATTTGATATAAGATATTATTCATATATTCCAACTTGAGAAATTTCAACTATTTAAATTATTCAAGTCACATGTCACAAGACTCACAACCTGTCCTTCAGGTTTCTTTCTTACTCAATTTGGCAACTTGTATTTTTTTTTTTTTTTTTGGTTTTTTTTTTTCAATTCCAAGAAAATAAATTGATTTTCTACTCAATCTTATGTTTTTGAAATTCTTGATTTCAAGTTTCATCACGAGCCCACATGCCTTTCAATATATGAATAATGCAGAGAATCCGATTCTACTTCCACTTTGGATTTACTACAATGCCATTTATAAATTATAAGGTTATTTTTTTCTTTACAAAAATAAAAAAATATTAAGATATTTTATTTGAGCTCGATTAATTAACATAACAAATAAAATTTGAATTTATACTTTCGTTCAATAGGATATGATATTCGACTAATGATGTAACTTGAATTAGAAGAAATGTGTATTATAAATTAAGCTGTTCGACCTCAATTCCGTTGCTAAGGATACCAATTACAAACACAACGTTTAAATGTTGACAAATGTTAAAAAAAAAAAAAAAATTGAGCAATTATTCATTCGATTAGACTCGATTCGTTTATATCCATTTTTTTCCTTGTTCGTTTGGAGTGAATGTGAGGAATTCCTGGATTTGTGTTGAAGAAAGGAACAAAGGACCTTTGCCACATTTATTCATTGCAACGTGATTACCCCAACGTCAACTTTTGCTTAAAATGTTCGACCTTCACCCGATCGAGTAGGGTCAAAACCCGTACACACACCCGATTGCTCGAACCAGGTTGCCCACCGCTAATTGAATTAATTAATTTATTTAAAAGATCGAAGAGAACAAATGGTAACGAGTTATTTCACGATCGATATATATTTGAAGGGATGATTTTTGAAAATTTTAATTTTGACTAATGGCCCAAGCCCAAATATATCGAAGTTATATATATAGGCCCAATTAGACCCAAATAAACGTAAAGTTATTCCGGCCCAATTAAAATCTAGTGGGCTCAAATTAAAGAAGATAATCATAGCCTAAACGAATTAATTAACATATAATAAATAGCACCAAAGAATTTGCAGTAAATAAAATGTCAAAATTAAACCCCCAAATTTTGCCCTAATCAATACAATCCAGCCAAACCAAAAGTAATTAAGGAAGACAAATAAGATAAGGAAACAATATTAACTAACAATTGATGAAACAGAAAGCCAATTTCAAAATTAGGGCACAAAAAAAAAAAAAAAAAAAAACCCTTTTACTTCTTCTGGAATAACTTGCTCTTGTTGTATTTGAGTTTAATCCAGTTAACGCCAACGGACGCGCCGTCTTTCACCTTCTTAGCGGCAACCTTAGTTTTCTCGAACCCCGCCGCAGTGACAACCTTAGTTTTCTCGAATCCGGTCGAAGCCACCTCCTTAGTCCGCTCGAACTTCTCGCTCATTTTCTTCGACAGCTTCGGGTTGGAGCTTCCAGTCACCGGTGGTTGCTCGGCGGCGGCGGCGCCGTCTCCCTCCCAAGGATTTCCACTCGAGCCCATCGATTCTAAAAACTAAATTCAGGGCTCGAGACGAGGAGAAAAAGATTTGATTTTTATTTCTTTTCTAGAGAGAGAAAGTGATGTGGGTGATGTGTTTCTTTTTTCCCACCACTACTTTATAGCTGCAAATCTACTAGTAAACAGATTTTGGAGTATTTGCGTAAATTGACATTATATTTTATATTATTATAAAATTTGGATTTAAAATTTGATTAGTACAATTGTAAGATGCTGGATATAATTAAATAAATATATCGTTAAACATCATTAAATTAAATCCTGTGCTAATAAAAAATTGTACAAAATCAACTTTCATCCAATTAGTTATTGAAGAGCCCGAATTAAATGAAATCAATTGGGCCTAGTGGAAAATAATACAAATTGGCCCAATATCGAATAAGGTAAATTAGGTGCAGCTAGTGTTTGGTGGTTGTCTTGTGGTACTTAAATTTGACCCATTGGATTGCGGCGGTGGCTCCCGCCTTGGCCTTCCTAACTCCAGTGGAGGCTGCCGCCTTTGTCTTATCGAACTTGTCGGAGAATTTTGAATTTTTATTGGATGTGGCCGGATTAATGTAGGCAGGCTCGGGATCCCATTGATCAGCCCATGATGAACTTTTCGACGCCATATATATAATATAATATAATATAATATAATATGATTGACGATCTTTAGAAAGAGATAACACAACAAGGAGAAAAATATTGTCTAGAGAGAGAGAGAGAAATTTGAGATGGGAGAATGAATTGGGGGTGACCGCCCCTTTTTATATATGTAAGAAATTTATTAAAATATGCTGCTACTTTAGTTTCAAAATTCCAACCAAGAAAAGCATATATTCGCTTTGGCTACCATACCACTAATTAATGGCTTTTGGATATTCTAGATATTTAGATTTTTTATTTTTTATTTTACTTTTTTTAATTTATATAATCTTCTTATTTGAAAAAACGTGTTTGTGTTTGAAATGTCGACTGTCAAATTGGGGTTTCTCTTACGTTCAACCAGATTGAACGAAGGGAATTGTGAGAAGAGAAACACGTGTGTGTGTGTGTGTCCGTGTGCGTGAGAATATGAAGAAGAAAATAAACGCGTCTTCACAATTATCCACGGTTTAATAATAATAAAAAAATAATAATAATAATAATATACTCAAACATTATCAATGGAGTTAGTTGAAGACTTAGTTGTATCAGTATAACTGATAGTCAAAATGGTTTATAGTTGGACCGTTAACACTGATTAACTTTATTGGTAATAATTAAAAATAAATAAATAACTGATTAATTAAAGTTCAAATATTTCCCCCTACGTCATATAATATCTAGAAGAACAAAGTGTGAAATGTCAATATTGAAAAAAGAAGAAGGTGTTTCTGGAGTAGTCTAGATGCCTCTAGAGTTACTAATTATAATAATTTACACCGAAAAACTCTTCCTGGTGTTGTGGATTTTAACGGCCGATCGAAATTCCGGCGAAGTTGGATACTGACACACATCATCAAGCCGGAGAAGCCAACTCGAACAAAATCGAAAACCATAATTCTTTAATTCAAAATGAAAACTATTGTGATCATTAACAATAGAAATCAAAATTTGTGTTTTAATTTCCAAACAACAAAAAAAACATAAGATATAACGTTATACATAATGGCTGGCTATGAAGAGACCAACAAATTCAATCCATTTATGTGGTTGAGATTGCACAACGTGGATCGGACGGACTAGATTAGCTCCAGCTTCGACAAGGACCGTCGATGTAAACAAAGAAACCAAAACTTCCTCAAAATTGAATAACAAACATTCATTAATTTCTCATCAAAGACTTTTCTTCCTTTCTAATGACCATTTCATTCAACAATTTAATCAAGTTATTAATTAGGTTAATTATTTAATATTTAACCATCTTTCACCCACACATTAATATATGAAAAAATAATAGTAAAAAAAAAAAACTAATAAGAAGAAATGGTGAAGAATTTGCCTGGCCTGGAAATTTGAACCATTCTAACATTATTTACAGTTGACATAGTCTTTGTTCTTGACCTCTTACTTGTACTTATGTTGCAAGAAAAATTAATCAAATTCTTGTTCTTAACATTATTTATTTTTTATTAAATAATACTGCCGCCTGCACTTAACAAGAAATATTATTCCCTTCAAAACTTGTTCATTTCTCTCTCTAATCTTCCAATTTCATTTTTTTTCTCTCTCTAAAAAAAATGAAAATGAAAATTTCAATTGTGATTGTATTCTTGTTTATTTTGATTTCAATTAATCCAATTCCAATTTCTGCTCATTTTTTTCCAAATATTTCTTCAATTCCAGCTTCTTTGATTCCAAATCATACAGTTTGGGACGCTTTCAGCGGCTTAGCCGGCTGCCAGAAGGGCCGGAAAGCCGACGGCTTAGCCAAGCTGAAGAAGTACTTTCAGTATTTTGGCTACCTCAACAATTCTTACTCCGATTACTCCGACGATTTCGACGAGCTTCTCGAATCCGCCGTCAGAAACTACCAGCTCAACTTCAACCTCAACGCCACCGGCAAGCTCGACGCGCCGACGCTGGACCACATCGTGCGTCCCCGGTGCGGGAACCCGGACTTCGTCAACGGCACCTCCACCATGCGCCGCCGTGACGACCACGCGACTATTCACACGGTGGCGCACTACTCGTTCTTCCCCGACCGGCCGCGGTGGCCGGCGAGGAAGACGCAGCTCACGTACGCGTTCGCGCCGGAGAACCAGCTGTCCGCCGTGGTGAGGGGCGTGTTCGCACGCGCGTTCGAGCGGTGGTCGGAGGCCACGACGCTGACGTTCGTGGAGACGGCGTCGTACGGCAGGGCGGACATAAGGATCGGGTTCTTCGGCGGGGACCACGGCGACGGCGAGCCGTTCGACGGCGTTCTGGGGACGCTGGCGCACGCGTTCGCGCCGCCCAACGGGAGGTTTCACCTCGACGGAGACGAGAACTGGGTCATCGACGGAAACTTCCTCAACGGCGCGCCGCGGACGGCGGTGGATTTGGAGTCGGTGGCGGTTCACGAAATCGGGCACGTACTCGGGCTGGGTCATAGTACGGTCGAGGAAGCCATTATGTACCCGACTATTTCTTCGGGTACCAGGAAAGTGGAGCTTGCGAACGACGACGTTTTGGGGATCCAGGAACTTTACGGGTCTAACCCGAATTATAACGGGTCGGTCGGGACTTTGACTCCGAGTCCGACGGGTCAGAGGGATACTAGTGCGGCCCATCATACTATGGGCTATTCGATAAAAAATGGAATTCAGCTGATTGGATTATTGTCTTCTTTATTATTATTTGTATAGAATTTCTTTTATTTTTTATTTTATTTATTTATTTGCGTTTTGATAGAAATAGATACACACATATATATTGAAATTTTTTATTTCACTATTTTATTTATAATTAATGTATATAATTAATTATAGGGTTCCTTCGATCTTACACCCGGTGATAAACACATGGTGGGTCTTCTGCTGCCATGTGTTCCTTTTTTTATTTTTCTAAAATCCCTAAAGGTAAACCCTAGCGGGGAATCTATTATAAAATACAAGAAAGAGACACGTGGCGACAGAAGACTCACCCGAAGTTTATCACCGGGTGTAGGTTCGAACAAATCAGGGTTATAGCTTTCATCAGATAATTTCAATAATTGCAATATTTCACAATAATTGCAATATATCCATATAGTAGTTGACTGGGCAGATTAAAAGACAAAAATAACCTTCAATATGTTGGGCAATGTTTGGAACATTTCCATTTTGTTTTCATTGTTTCCCCAAAACAAAATGGGATTTATTACGCTTTTCGAATTATTTTCTCAAAACAATTTCAAAAGTTTCTCTCTCCTTCAGACATGATGTGACTGCTACAGTAAAATGATTTGACTGCTGCAGTAAAAAAATGTCTTCACTAAAAAACAAATAAACATCACTTCATCTTTCAATTTTTTTCTTCAAAAATACTTTTTTCTAACACTTTTAAACATGATTTGACTGCTACAGTGTATTTTGTCTCCTTCCAAAATACAAACAAACATTACTTTCATTATCAAATTATTCCCCAAAATATATTTCCTCAAAATGAAATCAAAATAAGATCCAAAACGCTTCCAAACATTGTTTGGTGTTTGTAAATAACTAAATATATATCTATTTGTTTACTACTTCACATTGTAAACTAAAATTAGAATTATAGAGCTAAAAATTAAAATACCAAAATTCAATAACTTGGCCAAATCTAAATATTTGATATGGTAAAGAAATAGTGGTGGGGGCTGCATAAATATTAAAAAAAAAAAGTTAATTAGCAGAAAATATCTGGTTTTATCTCTATATACAAGTGGTCATTTAATTTAATTTTTTTAATTAGAAAAAATAAAAGTATGGAGAAAATAAAGTGCAAAAGTTTGCAAGTAGATTATGATACGTGATAAGTATGACTAATGCAAAATTGTATCCATTTATATGCTAAGTGATGCAACCCTTTGTGTGCAAATGACTACACTCTTCATCCTCAACAGTTCATTTGGTCCCATTTATTGGCCATATCCATACCTATATTAATTAAACACTTTATTAGTGGTGTTATCATTTTTCCAATTCAACTTAAATCACCTGAATCGGATGTCAGGTGAGAAAAATATGCATGAATAAATGAACATTAACCACAATTTTGAAGTTTTGAGTTAACTGAAATTTAAAATATTAACTCATTCATGCCTAAGTTTGTCACTCGATATCCAATCTAGCTGATTTAAAATTGATTTGAAAATTAACACAAATGACTACAATTTCCATGCTATGAGTTTTGCCAAAATCAGACAATAGACGGGTCAAAAATCACATTCGAAGTCAAAACGATATTAGCAAAATTGAAACCTATATAACAAGTGTTTTGATCTTTTTATATTTTTTTGGAAGAACATTTATTTATGTTTTAAAAAGAAAAAGACAAAAATAAAATAAGAAACTCTTGATCTTTAACTACAATGCGCCGCAATGCTAAAATGCGCTTTCGAGCCTCCTTGACTTAATTTGATTCTTTATAAATACATGCTACATTCATATTTCAATCAACAAGCCATCTTCCAATTTCTAATACCTTATTAATTAATTATTATATATCCTTTCAGTTTCTCTCTCTAGAAAAAAATAAAAGAAAATGGGAAGATCTCTCCTATATCCGCCGCCGTTGCCTTGCAATTCCGACGACGGAGACAAACTCCAAGAATATTCCGACCAATCAAAGTCTTCCTCAAGCTCATCATCCTTTACTTCTCAGCTAAGTCTCCCTTCCGTTCCTTCCCTAACACCCCATTCCCAAACCCTCGAACACGCCGCCACCTCCGCCGCCGCCCACCACCACTGCTTAGCCACGCTCAAGGGCCACTCCTCCTACATATTCTCCCTCTCACTCGCCGGGAAACACCTCTACAGCGGCGCTTCCAACGGCGAAATCCGCGCATGGGACCGTTACCCATCCTCATCCACCCACAGTTATAACACCGTTACAGAAGGCCATAACGCCGTTAAATCCATCGCCGTCTTGGGAGAAAAGCTCATAACAGCCCACCAAGACCACAGAATCCGAATATATAAAATCCACAACAACCAAAAATACAGACTTATTACAACACTACCAACCGCAACCGACAGCTGCATGAGGCTCTTCTCCGCCAAAAACTACGTCGAAATCCGCCGGCACGTGAAGCGCACGTGGGTTCACCACGTGGACGCCGTTTCGTCTCTTGCTCTGTCGGAAAACGGCTCTTTGTTGTATTCCGTCTCGTGGGATCGGTCTATCAAAGTGTGGCGAACCTCCGACTTCAAGTGCGTCGAGTCGTTGCACAACGCACACGAGGACGCCATAAACGCCGTCGTTTTATCCTCCGACGGCGGCCATTTTTACACGTGTTCTGCTGATAAAACAATCAAAGTATGGAAAAAGCAAGAAGGGACGAAAAAAGTCAAACATGCACTCGTCTGCACGCTGGAAAAGCATAGTTCTTCTGTGAATGCATTGGCTTTGGGCGGCGATGGGTCTGTGTTGTACTCCGGCGCCTGCGACAGGTCGATAATAGTGTGGGAGAAGGGCGGCGGCGCCGCCATGTGGGCGGTGGCGGGGGCGCTGAGGGGGCATAAGAAGGCTATACTTTGTCTGGGTGTTGTTTCGGATTTAGTGTGCAGTGGATCGGCGGACAAGACGGTTAGGGTTTGGAGGAGAGGGTGTGGAAATAGCTATTCTTGCCTGGCAGTTCTTGAAGGGCATAATGGTCCAGTCAAGTGTTTGACTGCAGCTTTGGATCATAATTATAATTACCATAATAATAATAATAATAATAATAATAATAATATTAATAATTGTGGTCAGAATTCTTATTTGGTTTACAGTGGGGGTCTGGATTCTGATATTAAGGTTTGGCAAATAAGGGTTTCTTCATGATTAGTTTATTTACAATTTCTGCTTGATTAAAATAGTAGTAATATTTACATTTTCTTCATTCAAATTTGGAAGAGTGGATTATTGATTTGTATTTTGTATTAATATTAATTATTGTGTTGGTTGCTTTTTGCCTAATTATAATTGTTTTTTTAATTTCCTGCTTTTTGAAATGGAGTTTGATTGTAACCAAAAGTTGAGACATAAGAAATAATTTAATGTAGGTTAATTCCATGTTTTGTGAGTATTGTTTGACTGATTAATACTATTTTAATTCTAAGCAGGTAATAGTTGGTAACATAAAATTAGATGCTAATTTATACTATGTGATTTGAATTGTAAATTTGATTAGATAACTAACTACCTATTAAGTACGTATACGCATGGTTGTATATGTAATTATCTGTAGATCTACGGTTCAAATTCACACAGTGTAAATAACCAGGTGTAGCATCTAATTTTCCGATATAGAGATAGGATGGATCGTGTTATTAGCATTTTTGACAAGTTTATTATTTTTTGTTATGAAAAGTTAATTTCGATTTCAATTGATTAAAATCAGAAAAATAAAAAAATTCGAAAGTTTGAAAATCGGGACGAAAAATCTAGTTCGAACTAATGCAAACTTTTGCATCAGATGCAACCTTTGGTAAGTTTGGTAAGATATGAACGGCTTTTTTTTATTAATTATTGTCCCAAAAAGATAATTAACTCTAACTTTATTTGTTTCATTGCATTTGTCAGCCTATGTGGCTTAATATCTAATTAATTAAATTAATTCTTGTTAGGGAAACTTCAAAGATTTGATTCACTAAATTAATTCAAGTGGGTATGAGCCAGTATCCCAGTTATTGCTTTACTTCATTTCTTTGAATACCTTTTAATATTTCCTTTTCTTAAATAAGATAGTGGGGAAAGATTAATGAAATTGGTAAAATTATATATAACTAATGTAATCAATAACTTCTTTTTATAGTAAAGGCAAATATATGAAAACATGTAATGAATGTAATATTAATTTTCTAAAGTGACAATTAGGGGTGAGAAAAAATTATCAATTACCATGTACCACGGCATACCAACCGAACATTATCGAAAATTTATCAAAAAACCGTCCACCATTGTATCCGGTTCAATATTAGTACCGTACCACTAGCTATCATGTGGTATAGTGGTATTGAATTTGTTATATTGTATTATACCGCAATTTATATGTTATAATTTAACTAACATTTATTTCCTCTAAAACAACTAACATTTGATTGATTTTTATTTATTAAAACTAAACAAATAGAAATATTATAAGATTTTAACTACAAAAAAGACCATTTTGTTATTTATGAAACGTCATTTAAGTTCACGTACCCATTATACTGTATCGAATGTAACAATGTACTGCAATTGTCTGATTATATAAAGCATTAGTACCACAATTTATAAGCCATATCCAGTATCAAGTCAAATGTTTGGCAATTATACCGAATCCACCCTAGTGACAATATTATAGAAAGAAAAACATGTAAAATATCAATTTCTAATTTAAAAAAAGAGGGAGTAAAGTAAACTACCTTTTATTACCCAATGGTAGTCGTGTTATCGTCTAATTGTGCCACATTAACTAAAAGGTGGTAGTTAAAAAGTCGTTTATTGATAGCAATTTGACTACTAATTAAGTTTTGATTAATGTTAACACGAAAGGTTATGCTGCCTAATCTAGTACATCAATATATTTTTTTAAAGGCCAAATTGCATCATCAATTTGGACTAATTTCAGTATCTTTATACAAAATTATTGGAGATTAATTGAATGTAGACCTCTTTTTTCCGGTGCAAAAATAAATCCATTTCTAATTTGTTTTCACTAGATTGAAAAAAATTAACATCAAATATCGGTTATTTCTATGCTACACCCGATGAAAATTATATTGGATGTTTTTTTACCATCAGTTACACACACCAATGTGGATGTGTGTGTGTTTGTGTATATATGAACTGTTCAAATTTATCTAATGTATTTTATCGGATGCAGCATCGTATTAACCGATACATAAAGAAGTAATTGGAAAATCTTGCCGGATAATTAGCTTTCAGTCCTAGGTATAATTGATGGGCTAAAAGTAGGGGTGGAAATCGGACGGAATGGATCGGAAATACCTTATTCGGAAATTTTTCAATTTTTTTCGGAAGTAAAAAATATGTTCCAATTTTCGTTTCAAAAAAATCGGAATTTCAAAATCCATTCCAATTTCGGAATACCTCGGAATCGGCGGAATTTCGGAATTTTCGGAAATTGCATTAATTCTTAATTTTTTATTCCAAAATCGGAAATAATGGTAATTTTAAGATTTTTTTCCTAATATTTTCGTAATTTTCAGGCAAAATGCAAGAATCCAAAACAAAGGTCAATAAGATGAAATGTAAACACTTGTAAAAACAACATAATCAGTTTATCAAAGCAAACATAGTTCTTGCAACATATGAATAGAAAAATAATTCAGAAATACAATATATATATATATATATATATATATATATATATATATATATATATATATATATATATATATATATATATATATATATATATATATATATATATATATATATATATATATATATATATATATATATATATATATATATATATATATATATATATATATAAAGATATATATATGCGCAAAGAACTAAATACACAGAAATTAAATATCATG